AAAATGGCGAAGCGACCGTTGCCCAACCTTAATCGACAATATTTCTTGGTATTGTTACATTAAATTAATACTACGATCACACAGAAAACAGGCGTGAAGTGGAAGCAATTTTGGATTCTATTTCTGATGATTACTTTGGAAACATAAATGTCATTGTTCAGAGTGGTAGTGCCCGCTTTAACGTCTTCGCACGGATAGACCGCCTCGTCACCAGCAATACCACGCCCATACAGAAAACAGGCGTGAAGTGGAAACAGTTCCGCGTTTTGTCTGATGAGTGTGGTCCTGGAGCCTTAATTTTAGTCCCTTTCCCTTTCCACCCTTTGCTTAAGAGGAAGAATGGGAAGGAAAAGTGGATTTGACGGTGGAGGAGACTCATTTTTCATTTTTCTTGTTATAGATTGCAGAAACTCCGCCTTTACCGCCAGAACCTCCTAAAAAGATACCACCTCCGTAAGCAATATAATATTAATTTTTGCTTAGATTCCAGAATCAAAATATAGTCTAGTACTTTAAAATCACTCAGTAATAATGTTGCTTGAAATTGCTTTAGTAGTTTTTGAGTTTATTTATTACTAACTGTTTCTAGTGTTTTCGTCCGCGTTGAATTAAAAAAATATAAAAATACAGCCTACATTACTCAGGGATAAAGTAACTTTCCTACAGTGCAAGATTTTTTTAAATCGGTGAAATAGTATTTGAGTTAGTTTCCTCTACATAATATTAGTACACACATATAAGCACTAGATTTGAATTACACTTGTTGATATTTAGTTTTGAATAAATATTATATGAAAAAAATTACAGGACAAAAACTAAGGAAACAGAATTAATGAAGGACACAGAAGTTTTAAAAAATAAAGATATTGAAACAGATTCTAGACAATTAAATACCTCGGAGTTTACAAATGTTTTGCCAAACTCCAATATTGTATTGGCATTAGGCCCTGAAGAGGATTTATGCATGGTGCCTGCGATAACTGTGGACGGAACCAACGGTATTAACTTGAAAAGCCAAAAAATAACAATAATACCGGAGAAATTATTTATGAATATAAAAAAAACACAAAACGATGGAAAAATAATCAAAGTGAAACCGCAATATTATTCAAAAAGGTACAGGGATTTAGTGTTGCCGAGATTTTTTCAAAAGAAAAGACACGATGATTTTTTAATGTCGAAAATTTTGCAAAAAACAACACAAGAGGATTTACCTTTACCGCAGTTGACGAAAATACAACAAGAGTTGCCGTTACCTAAATTTAAACAAAAAAAGCCACAAGATAAGGGAAAAGTAAAAAAAAATGAAGCTACATTACCTCTTATAGTTGACTGTAGAACGGATAAAACTGCATTTAGTGAAGAAATTAAAAAAACTGACAATTCAGTGTCACATGTGAAACTTCCTATCAGAACAAACTCTGCGGTAGATTGGGAGGATAAAATCCCTATAGAAGTTATTTCATTCGCGGTAAGTGATATAAACTAGCTTTTGCCCGCGACTCTGCGCGGAATTAAAAAACAAAAGTAATTAGCTGATGTGCTCAGAATATCCACTACATATATGACAATCGAGATCTTTTAGGCAATTTAGGATACAAATTCACAAACATATAAAATTTCGCTTTTTTGATATACTAGCTTTCGCCCGCGACTCCGTCTGCTCGAAAATAAAAAAAAACAAATTCAAGTATTTCTAATTTCATGTAGATCCGTTCAGCAGTTTACGTTACAAATTCTAACAAACATCCATCTAAACTTTGCATTTGTAATGTTAGTAAGAAGTAAGATATTAACGTTTTCAGATTAATATATTTTTTTTATTATAGGACGATGATTGAATCTAACGTCGAAGAAAACACCGAAAGAACAAGCAAAATAATAAGATTGTTTTATTATACATAATGATTTTAATTTATTCTGTTAGAAAATTGAATTTTTTTCACATGGTAATACCGATAGCGCTAAAGCGAACTATTTGACAAATGTCAAATTACGTATTTGACAATTGTCAAATTATTTGACATTAGCTTTGATGCAGGTTTTTATATTTTTAATGTATAAAGCTATAAAATAAAGTTATAGTAGAAATAGTGTAAGGATTATTGTAAAAGATGTGTTTATGATATTTTGTTGTGTTTTTTTATTTTATTTTTAAAACAGAAACAATAGATTGTGATAAATTCGCCTGCATTTGTCTTTACAAAATACTTACGATACTTACGACTTTATAAGATACTTTTATCTATACTATTATAATAAAACGTAAACACACACTTATTTGTTACCTAAGATGTCGACAATCACAGCATATTTTCCAACAACTCTTTCTTTAATAAAAAACCCTACACTTACGTCACGCTTTAGGCTATATATTTTCACGCCGTTAAACTTAGGGGTAAATATTTTGGTTAAAAGCCCTAATGTGGGAAAGGGACCATAAGTTGTTGCCAACATCGAGGTTGCCATGGTTTGACATGTCATGTCACTTTGACATTTGCCATTGATAATTTGACAAATGTGAGCAATAAAATGAAAATTTTATAACTTTATGCGGATGAAGTCGCATGGGAACAGCTAGATATTTAATATTTGTTGTCAGTATGTATAGTGCAATATGGATCTTGTCTTTGTGAAATTGACAAGGCGCCTTAGACCTTTTAGATGATATACCACGACCACACAGAAGACAGGCGTGAAGTGGAACCAATTCCGCGTGCAATCGGATAAGTGTCGTGCCGGAGGCCTAATTTTAATCCTTTTTCATTCCCACTCTTTTTCTTTTAAGAAAAGAATGGGAAGGGAACGTGGATTTGACGCTGGAAGAGTCACATAGGAAGGGGAAATATCCTCTTTATGTGCGTGTCCTCCGTCGGTTAAGGGTAGGCAGCGCATCCCATACTGCGAATCTCTATGTGTAGCGGTTGCTTCGCCATTTTGGCGGATTCAAGTGGCCGCTTGTTCGTTTGCCACCTTATTAAAAAATAGGGTATCCAGAAAGGTAGTATTTCAGAATTTAGGTCAAATTCTTCAGTCTTGAATACAAAAACGCAAATTGTAAACCTTGTACCTTGTAATGTAACTAGAAAATGCTCTTTACCACCGTTTATAAAAGCCAAACTAGTAATATAAAACTAATTTCTTTGATTACATTAGATATGTAAGTAAAAAAATGACTAAAACGCCCAATATTGCATTTTATATTCTCAGTTGAATTTAATAAACAGTTACAAGTGATTTATGATTCTATTTCGTTAATGTTTTGTAATTAAGATAGCTTATGTATTGTTTTTATGATTACATAAATATTTAAAAGTAAATGGGGTTTTTTATTTATCATATTTCGAGAAAACTTGTACCACATATTCAAGTTTAAATGTTAAATGATAGGTCTAAATAGTTATTTAAAATATCGTTACTAACAAAATAACTTACAGATTGTCAAATAAATAATCTTTGTTAATTTCAATTCATGTCAAGGTTATTTAATCTATATTGTCATTGTCAGCACGAAAAATGTCAATGTACTGTCAAAACATGAATCTGGATGTGTTTGAAATTTTTGAAAAAAATAAGAATATGAGCTAGTATGTGTAATTTTTGTTTGAAAATATAGTTTTTCTAGCACAATGTCCTTTCCGAAGATTGAAGGTTATGTGGTAACTGAGAAATTAGGCTCAGGGAGTTACTCAACAGTATACAAAGCTATAACAAAGGTAACGAATCTATGTAAATAATGTTTTGTGTACATTTGGCTTTATCTATTTTAAACAGCTTTTTCTCGAGTTTTATTATAGTGTTAAACTGAAATTAGATTTAAACAAAGAAACATGGTATTAGACTATTTTTTATACGTTTGTTACAATTAAGTCTTCAAACATATGTTACGTACTAATTTTGAAGAAAGCGAAGATTAATACAACTGTTGTATTAACAAAAAAAAACCCTCTAGAACTACATGAAATAGACTGGCAATCAAATTTCAACAACAGTTGCAGAAATAAAATAAATATAAAAGTCAAATCTTTCCTATGGGAATCAATCTCATTTCTCTGTTTAGACTGTTTTTTACGTATATACCAAAATTCAATAAAAGCCAATAAGCTATTGTGAAGATACCTCGTAACAAACATTCATACATCCATCTAAACATCACCAGGTCACTATATGTCCCCACTGAGGGATTCTTACCCTAAGTTGGCTTACTTTCATACCCTAAGGGAGCTTACCCTAAGTTACAATGACTAGGTCTTAGCCAAACATTCTGGTCAGTCAGGTTGACTTCACACATATCTTTGAATTTCGTCATCAACATGTGGGGGCATCACAATGTTTTCCTTCACCATTGGAATATCGGGTATATTATAAACTTATGAAATTCAAAAATAACATTGGTACAGTGGGATTCGAACCCAAGACATATGGAATACTAGTCGCATGCTCAAACCCCTGAGCCACCAATGCAATCTAAACATTTGCATTTATATTAATAAGTTTGCTAAAAACATATGGATCTGAATATTGGGCAGTAAAAGGGATGGATGAAAGGAGAATACATGTGGCGGAAATGCGAATGTTAAGATGGATGTGTGGGTTAACACAATTGGATAAGATACGAAATGAGTGTATTAGAGGAAGTTTGAGAGTAGCCCCAGTGGTTGAGAAAATAAGGAGTAAAAGGTTAGAGTGGGAGCATGTTATGAGATGGGACGAATCGCATGTAACAAGATGGACGTTAGTTATGAATGTGGAAGGGTACATAGGTAGAGGTAGACCTAGAAAGAGATTGATGGATTGCGTGAATGATCAAGAAGGGAGTGATGACTGAGATGACGGATGATAGAGTGCTTTGGAGTACGAAAACACGGTGTGCCGACCCTACGGGAGTAGGAAAAAAAGACTGAAACAATATATTTTCTTACCATTCCAGGTTGGAGCGAGATCAACAGTAGCTATCAAATGTATAGACAAATCCCGTGTGAAGCATTCGGGGACTGCAGTGGACAATCTGATTACAGAGATACGCTTGCTGAAGACACTCTCCCATCCTCACATTGTACATATGAAGCAGTTCACGTGGGATGACAGGTACAGTAACACTATGTGTGTTTTCCTTTATACTATCCTGTACATCTAAAAATAATCATCAATCATCCCGAAATCTAGATTTTTTTTGATATTACAAACAGATGCTCCGATCTATACTATTATAATAAAACGTAAACACACACTTCTTTGTTGTCTAAGATGTCAGCAGTTGCAGTATATTTTTGAACAATTCACTTTTCAATAAAAAGCCTTACACTTACCTCACACTTAAGGCTATATATTTTCACGCCATTAAACTTAGGAGGTAAATATTTTGGATAAAAACCCGAATGTGGGAAAGAGACCATAAGTTGCTGCCAACATCAAGAAAGAAAGATTGCCAAGTTTTGTCATGTCATGTCATGTTGACATTTGTAATTGATAATTTGACAAATGTAAACAATGAAATAAAATTTTCATAATTTCATGCGGATGAAGCCGAACGGGAACAGCTAGTTTTATTATATGTATAGATAAATATTTTAATTACAGAAATATCTACATAATAATGGAGTATTGCTGTGGGGGTGATTTATCTAAATATATTCAGCGGTATGGGAGAGTTCCTGAGAAACAGGTTATTCACTTTGACGGTACCAGTTTTAGCACTACTAGCACCCAGGGCGAGTATTCTACGCCCTAAAGTTAGAGCACATAGATTAAATGCATTTTATTAAGTGATAAAACTTTAAAACTATGCTAAATAGTGGAGTAGCGCCCTTCTCTGTCCATCGCCCTGGGCCACCCTAAAGCCTGAACTGAACTTTGAGCCCAAAGATTAAGTTTTTTTAGAAAATTTTTTTAGTTAGTCAAATGTTTTTTTAGGAGATTAAAATTAAAAGTAATGTTATTTAGTTGAAAATTTATTTTCCAGGTTCTCTATTTCTTGCAACAACTTGCCTCAGCTCTAAAGTTCCTGAGAGAGAAAGGTAATTATTATAGTATGTGATTTTGAAATTGTGGGAAAGAGAAAAGGATATACAAAATGTTTATTGCTATCGCACAATAATGTTTGTTTCGTGTTTGTTTTTAAAAGAGTATTTATTTCAGAGTTATTTTTTTCAAAGAGTTATTTTGTCCAAAGAGTATTTATTTCAAAGAGTTATTTTGTCCAAAGAGTATTTAATTGAAAGAGTTCTTTTTTCCAAAGAGTATTTAATTGAAAGAGTTATTTTTTTCAAAGAGTATTTATTTCAAAGAGTTATTTTGCCAAAGAGTATTTAATTGAAAGAGTTCTTTTTTTCAAAGAGTATTTAATTGAAAGAGTTCTTTTTATCAAAGAGTATTTGAAAAGTTCGATTCTTTATTCGATTATTAATTTCAAGCATAAAATTATTATTTTTTGTTCCAGGTGTAGTCCATATGGATCTGAAACCCCACAACCTGCTGCTACACAAAGGTTCTGATGGGAAGTACATACTCAAGGTTGCCGATTTTGGGTGAGCAGAAGTATACCTAGTATTTGAATTAGCACATTTTTTAGAACAGTATGTTTGTTTACAATATACAAAGACTAACAAAAATTAACTAAAAGATAATTCAACTAGCTTTCGCTTGCGACTCCTGTCGCGTTGAATTAAAAAACAAAAGTAAGTATCCTATGTGTTCATACTATCCTCTACATGTATGACAATCATCGAGATCCGTTCAGTATTTTAAGATACCAACTATAACAAACATCCATCCATTTTCATTCACAATATTAGTAAGATTAGTAGTGTTTGTGTAGATTATACCTTTCAGTAAGATACCATTGTATCATTCTGGAGATATGAAATTCTTTGAACAACTTAGATACCGGTTTTATTCCTATAATGTGACATGTACTCCTACAAAATGGGGGAGGGGGAGCGAGTCCCCCTATGTACAAGGGGAAGGGGGCTGCGATTCTCCCTATCGTAGTGCACACGCTGGCAGTGGGGAGAGCCACACCCCCTTTCATAGTGTAAATAGGGGAACGGGAAATGTCATATCCTATCCTAGTGTGTGCGGAGAAAAGGGGGAGCTTTAGTAGTGTACTTGGGGAAAGGGGGAGTGTCACCTCGTATTTTATTGTACACGAGGGAATGGGGCGAGTGTCACCTCCTATCATCGTGTGCGCTGGAAAAAGGGGGGAGCGACTCTAGTAGTGTGCATGGGGGAGGGAGGTGTGTCACCTTCAAATATCGTAATGTACAAACGAGAAAAGGAGTGTCACCTCCTATTGTAATGTACACACGGGAAGGGGGGAGTGTCAGCTCCTACCGTAATGTACACACGGGAAGGGGGAGTGTCAATTATCGCAGTATACACGGGAGAAGGGGGGAGTGTCACCTAGCGTAGAGCAGGAGAAGGTGGAGGTTGTAAGGCAGTGGGTGCGGCGCAGGTTCGCGCAGCACGTGGCGGGCGCGGGGCAGCGCTGCCTGCGCGGCTCGCCGCTCTACATGGCGCCCGAGATGCTGCGCGGCCACCACGACGCCAGGGTCGACCTCTGGAGCGTCGGTCAGACATCCACATCTATGTCCTTACCATAATAACCTTACTTCCTTAATGTTGGCAACTCTTTGCCATATGAAGGTTTTTAAATTTATTTACCCCCTAAGTCTAATAAAGTAAAAATGTAGCCTAAAGCGTGTAAGTGTAGGGCTTTTTTTAAAGATAGGATTATTCAAAAACTATACTGTGTTTACTGACATCCTACTGTACGAAGTAATGTGTGTTTACGCTTTATAGCGTTTATTTACTAGCTTTTATCCGCGACTTCGTCCTCGTGGAATAAAAAAAAACAAAAGTGTGTAGCCTATGTGTTTTTCCAGATTATTCTCTACATCTATGTCAAATTTCATCAAAATCCGTTCAGCAGTTTAGGCTACAAACTAACAAACATCCATCTAAACTTTCGCATTTATAATATTAGTATGATATAGAAGTATATATATATATATATATTAGTTAATTATTACAAACATATACAGGTGTGATAATGTACGAATGTTTGTTCGGTCGCGCGCCGTACTCCTCCGCTACCTTCAAGGAGTTAGTCGACAAGATACAACGACAAGCACCTATTGAGGTAATACTAATAACTAGCTT